TCCAGCTTTTTCCTCTCTATTGTATTCCTTTTTGCAAATGTGTATGTTTCCTCTCTATTGTATTCCTTTTTGCAAATGTGTATAGGCCGGTGGTCGCAAAATCAAATCCGATCGGTTAACTGGATGTGGGATTGGGAGCGGTTAGAACAGGAACTGGACTAACCGGTTTGGTTAGATTTTTTTTTAAAAAAATGAGCAAAAAATCCCTAAAAAAAAAAAGAAAAAAGAAAAACATAGATTTAGTGTGTACTATTTTATTACCTACATTAATCTTAAGAAAAATATTTTGTAGATGACCAAGGTGGATCAATAACCACTTTTCTCGTGCATGCTATCAATTCCAAAACTTAAAATTTGCGAGGGTTTCATATATTTTTGCTCAAAAATATAATGATCAAATAAGAAAGCATTAGGAGAATATATTTTAGAACAATGCAAACTAAAGTAGCATCCTTTGAGGCAAAATCACGATAAGATGCTCTGTTGTTCTGCATTTCCATATAAGAACAATAGAGCAAAAAATAATTTTATTGAGCAAAATAGAAAAACACTTCTCATATTCATCAAAAACATAATTTTCTTCAAAATAATTTTATCAATAAAAAAAAAAATTCATCATAAAACATAATTTTATTAAAAAACATAAATTTATCAGAAAATAAAAATTTTATTAAGCAAAATAGAAAACACTCCCCATATTCATCAAAAAATATAATTTGTTATTAAAAAATAATTTTATTAAGAAAAATAGAAAAAAACTTCTCGTATTGATCAAAAAACATAATTTTATTAAGCAAAATATATCTTTTTTAGAAAAATCAATTTCTCAAAAACCCCTAAAAGCGAGTAACATTTTGAGCATGAAACGACCCTCAATGTTCAAGTAATCGAGCAAATCAACACACGTGCATTGTAAAGGCTTCGATCATCTTTCACATGCGCAAAATCACATAAAAAAATATTTAGTATTTTGGATTTAATTGATAAAATAGTGGAAATTTCATATCTATGCAATTTTCATGACATCATACAACAAAAAATTCATATAAAATAATTTACTTAATCATAAATAAACATACCAATTTTATTTTAGATATGAAGCCTCAATGATCAAAATCCACAACTCAATTTGATAAAAAAAGACCAATAAATGGATAAAAAATCTACGCTATTTTATTTGGTTCTCTCAGTAGCAGCATTTCAGACTAAAATCAACCCACGATCTTAGGTTTTAGGAACAAATTGAAACATGAATCTAGTAAATACTTCGAATATCAATCAAGCCCCTCAAATTTCTTCAAGAACCATTAGGTATTGATGAGATTATTGAAAGAATATCGAAATTTTTCAAAAACCTAAAAAATCCCCTATTTCAATCCAAGAAAGTATTTTTTTTTTCGATGTTTAAATCCAAAATCCTTGTTTTATATTCATTATATAGTGATTTATAACATTAAAACAAAAAAAAAATCCAAAAAATGGACGGAAAACAAATAAAAATAGGTAAAATTTGGATTCAGGGTTTTCCTACTACATATAACGGCTCTGATGCAGGGAAAAAAAAATCGGAATAATAACAATAAAAAATAAAATTGTTGATAGAATATACCCTCTATCAAGATCTACAGGGAATCCATCAAAAAAATGATATATTCACAATACCTTCAATTCCCATCCACAAAGTGGACATCTCCCTTTAAATAGATAATAAAAAAATAAACAAATAACTAACAAAAAAAACCATAAAAAAAATACTATTTCCCTCTAACTCGCACATATATCTCAATCATTCCATATCTAGATCTCCTAAAAGCTCTCATTCTTCCCACATACCATTTTTTTAAAAAATATCCTTAAATCTCTCTTCCTTCCCACGTAGCATATTTTTATGAAGATCTCTTTAAATCTCTCATTCTTCCTACATACCATAATTTTTTAAGATTTCATTATCTCTCTAAAAGATAAGTCTCTTTAATTTGGTTAGCTTTATCTACCAATCTAGCCATGGGGGAAATTATCCATATCCTAAACTCATGCAAAAAAAATAAGCTCATGCCCATATAATTATCCATGCGCAATTCCTATTCTTGAAATTAAAAGATAAATTCAAAATAATAAGATTGTAATTTTGAATTTTGAATTTTTTCTTGCATCATTCTCCCGGGGGAGAAGCTCGACCTCAAGCTTAATTAAAAGTGGTTCTAGTTCATCACCATGCATGACTATTTATTCGACTTGATATTCTTCTTGAACTTCATCCTTTCCCTTCGCCAATTATACCTCTATCTTCTTTTTTGGGCATTCATACGCACGATGTCCTGGTTTGTTATATCGATAACATATAAACTTTATAGTACATTTTTTGTATTAATTAAATTTCGGTTGGCGCAAAACCTCATTATGGGTGTAAAATCGCTTACTGGTGCTTCATTGGTATTTATTTTCTACTGGTAAAGCAAATTGAAAAGCTTCACTTAAAATCTATAATCAATTGTAGAAAAACATCATTCCTAATGGTACAATGAAGGCCATTTACATATCGAGCAATTTTTTGTCATTCCGTTTCGTGGAGGTTATTTCGAGTAACTAATAGATAAAACTCTCTTACATAATCTTCCACTTTTTCTCACTCAGTTGAATGAAGTTATTGGAAAAAAAAACTTTGCTTATCATCCGCATGAAGAAAATTTTATTTCCATTTCATGTTTTTCTTTTGTCAGTCAGTAATTTTTTCTTTCCCACTATGAAGTTGAGATTGTTGAACTTGCTCCCACCATGCTACAACATGCCCGCGGAGCTTGCAAGCAATAAGTTTAACATTATGTTCATCTGGCAAATTACTCCATTCAAAATAATTATCAACTGCACTTAACCAATCAATAAAAACTTCAATGTTTCGAGAGATCGACTTTAATACCAAAATATCGTTGTCGCTTTATAGGATGCAGATATTGCTGGTAAATTTAGTCTTTACACTCGAAATCAACACTTTGGGTTTGTCGTGAGACTGCTGATGCATGATCAATGTGGTTGGGAGTACCTTCTTCATAATGAACATTGTTCTCTAACTGTTGCAACCTCTGATCCAATCATTGCATCCCCTGGTTCAACACACGTACTTCAGTTTGAGCATCCTATAGGACTTTAGTCAAATTTTTTATAGTTTGTCACTATTGATCATCCATAGCAGGAGTAGGAATAGCTTGATTAGCTTTTGGTGGCATTGTAAAAAAAAAAAAAGGATGTCTGGATCTTACTTGCTATGATACCAACTGGTACAGGGATAAAATAAGATCGGAATAATAACAAAAAAAAAAAATGGTTAAGAAAATATACTATCTCTCAAAGTTTGCAAAGGAATCCACCCCCAATATGATTTATTCACAAAACCAAATTTTATTCAATTATCATCACTGCCTCTACGAAGAAGGAACATCTCCCTTTAAATAGAATATAAAAAAAAATTACATTTAAAAATTAAATTTTATTATTTTGAAATTATCTTTTAATTTCAAGAATAGGAGGTGCTTTTTTTTGTTAGTTATTTGTTTATTTATTTATATAATTTATTTAAAGGAAAATGCCACTTTTAAGGCAGTGAATGAAAATTTAAATCGTTTTTGGGGTGGATTCCCATGCTGACATTGAGAGTTAGTATATTCTCTCAGTATTTAATTTTTTTTAGTATTATTATTTCGACTTTATTTTTATCCTGCATCAGTTGATGTCAGAGCAAGTAAGTTTCAGATATCCATTATTGTTTTTGCAATACCACCAAAAGCTATCTAGCTAATCCTACTCTTGCTATGGATGATTGTTGCAACGGTTGGATCAGAGGTTACAACAGTTGGAGAACAATATTCATCGTGAAAATGACCCCTATTTCAAAGGAATGCCGTTATTTATATATTGTCGTTATTTACTAAAATACGATGTTATATCAGGGAACTGGTCCGATTTGATGAAAACCGGCCGATTACGCAAAAACATGGCCTGTTCGACCCTTAACATGTCGGTTTTGGGCAGGAAATTTTATGGGGTTATCACCTAGGCTGCTAGACATACAAAATCGACCCCAATTGGATTCGGAACCCTAGCTGTTCCAATCTAACCAGCCAGTTTTTCTAACACAGGTATAGGCTCATATTTTCTTTATGTTTATTTTTAAAACACTTCAAAACGATGTTATTTTTGCTTCGCTTCGAACAAAGAGAAAAATCTTCAAATTTTTGTCCCGGAAAGAAGCGTGATTTGACATTAGCAACACCAAATCACCTTACATATCAACCTTTCCTACGTACGTGATAGTTCAATGTTGCTCATATTGAACAACTCCATGCTTCAAAAATAATTTTTAACACATAAGACAATTTAATATCAGCAACATGAAACTGCCAAAATTTTAGGCTATATCCTATATATATGGGGCAGTTCCTTTTTTTAGATATTGTAATGCCCTTGATATCACAAAAATGGGAAAAAAATAAAATAAAAAGAGTCACAAAAATGGAAATAAAATAAGATAAAAAGAGTATTCAAAGGAACAACAAAAGGGTGCAGTTTCCAAACGGATGCGTCCGTAGGTGTAGAGGTACGGTACCTTTCAAATTTTACCATAATATATAATTTTGATGTAAAATGTTATTAGGATTATCTACAAAATCTATTTTTATATCGAATTAA